TCTCTCTCTCTCTCTCTCTCTCTCTCTGTCTCATTGTGTCATATGGATTACTGTTAATTTATTATGCTGATCTGTTCTGTACGACATCTATTGCACGTCTGTCCGTCCTGGAAGAGGGATCCCTCCTCAGTTGCTCTTCCTGAGGTTTCTACCGTTTTTTTTTTCCCCGTTAAAGGGGTTTTTTTTTGGGGAGTTTTTCCTTATCCGCTGTGAGGGTCTTAAGGACAGAGGGATGTCGTATGCTGTAAAGCCCTGTGAGGCAAATTGTGATTTGTGATATTGGGCTTTATAAATAAAATTGAAATTGAAAATTGAAAAATTGAAATCTCATTAAAGCTATGAGCCCGGCCAGGTGACGACAGGGACCTGTCACGGATCGGTCATGGCTCCACCACGGACCAAACGGAAATTTGAAGTGGCTGCATCTGTAAGTGTTTTCTTTATTTTTTTGGGCAGTGTATATTGTGGTATCCGCATGTATTCGGGTAGGCATATCCTGATTGGCTGGCTACGTTGATGCAAATCTCAGTTGGCCAATGTGTGTTTGTGATAAGAGGAGTATAACCCAAAGACTTCAGCAGAGGGCCCTGTCTGTGCTAGAACCAAAAACTTTGTTCCGTTTTTTGTGTTACACATAAGAAACAAACAAACACTGTATCTTCCATGCCAGGTAATATCTCTCTCTCCTTTGTTCAAATAACTCTGCTCTTACACATTGTAAACATCAGTGGATCGCCTGTCCTGGTTGGGTTAGCTATACAATAAACATGTAATGAAAAATTAATTTTGTGACATTTAATATACTAGGACAAATGAAGTATGTTGTACCTCCATGTCATTACAGAAAGAGGCATTGGTTCCAAACAGGATCTGGCACTGTTCATCCACACTGTAGTGCATGCCTGGCAGCTTGGGAGGGAGTCGGACCTGGTAACGGCTCCGGAGGTCTGTGTGCAGCAGACAGGCACTGGCTTTGGACCTGTTTGAATGACATACAAAATAAGGTTTCATAACGTTCTTACCAGTGAATTTTTTTTCTCCTTTCATTGCCAAAACTGGATCCAAAAGAAACTTACACTAGGGAAGATTTGAACAATGTTAGTTATTTTAAAAACAGTTGCAGATGAGCATCATTGGTGTCTGTAAAAGATATACAGTATGAGCCAAAGCAAAGACTGTGTGTGAAGTGTGTTTTCTATCTGCTATTTGTGTTGTTTTCCAGGACTGATAAGGATAATTACCCAGCAGAGATAAGTCAGTCCAAAATGAGAAGGTAGGTGCAGCAACCTACTGGCCCCAGTGGTGAAAAAAGTGTTAAAAACCAAATGTGGCTATGCAACCAAAGTCCTACCTAAAATGTGCTTAAAGAACTCACTGTGAAGAATAGCCCCTTCTGATGTGTTATCTATACAATAAGTGGATTATTGATGCTGCTACACCCTACCCCCTCCTTGTGTCACCTTAGATCCCAGCAGGAGCTACAAACAAAGCTCTCTGACATGAATATGGCCTGCTCAAACAGCCACACTGAAGATACAAAGTCTGCAAGCTAACTTTTCAAGCACTAAGGAGAACAAAGTTGAGTTAGCACCAAGACTCTAACTCTGCAAGGATAATGAGTGATGGGTTTTCTTGAATCACTACCATTAAAACACTCCACAGCAGAGACTACACTAGGACTCCCTTGTCTAAGTCAGTCTCATCCATAACTATTACACCACAGCATCTCTTTTTCCCCTCCATCCATGGACTGGTAAAGTAACAATTGGGTATAGCATTATTATAACAGTGCAATCTAAGCAAGCATTTTCCATTTGTCAATTGTGACTTAAAAGGATAGTGCACCCATTATCTACTCACCCTCATGCCGAGGATCAGGTGAAGTTTTAGAGTCCTCACAACACTTGCGGAGATCCAAGGGGAGAGGAGGTAGCAACAAAACTCCACCTAATGGAGGTTTATGGTGCCCCAGATTCAAATGTCCAAAAACACAGCTGGTGCAGCTTATTGTTTTCTTCTACTCAAAGCAACCAAAAAAATTTGCATTTGCAAACATTTGCAATGAAAAAACAGCAATGTCTCCATCTAAAAATCACAATTTACTTTTCTTAAGACAATCTGTCTACCGAACTACACCTGCCAACTGCATCATTGCGCAGCAAGAAGTGTGCATCCACTGCTAGCTCACCTAGCACCACTAAGCTACCTAATGTTACAGTTTAGCTGAAAAGGACACCATTAATGTTTACATCTCCTGCTGCCACGAGCATGAGCCTCTCATCCATGAATAGATGCTCTCTTCCCTCTGCGTAGTAATACGGTTCATGGATGTAGTTGGTAGAAAGAAAATAGTTCCTACATGAAACTAACACTAACTTACATGAAGTAATTGGGTCATGATTTCTGGAAAGAAACATTGCTGTTGATTTTTTCAAACATTATTTTTGTTTATTGTGCTTTGAGCACCACAAGTCGAGTGCCATCTAGTTCCATTCAACTGAGGGCAGCCATTTCTACAGCAGATATCTCCAACCCTTTAGGAGAGGCGGGAATATATGACTGCCTTGACGGTGAGAGTGCAGTGACTACTGACAACACCACTGTTATAAAAACTGACATTATGAAATAAAATGCATCAATATTAAAAGGGTTAGGGTAAAATTCTGAATGTTACATGAAATTAAGGAGAGGGATTTGTCTGCAGTGAAATAAAAAAATATATTTAACAGAACTATGATAATTGAAAATAAATGATGAAATAACATTTCATAATATGGAGTTTTAATATTTTTTTTTCAGGCATTTCCTAAATTGTTGGTTGAATTATTTTTACACAATTTAGTGATATGAATATCTATTTTATGATGTCTTTATTTTATATTGAACCTTTTCTAGTTTCAACGGAAGAACACGTTTGAATGCATGATTTGACATTATGCAAGATCATCTGCACATCTGTAAACAATTCAAAAAATCTCAGAACACAAATCTTCAGCCACACAATGTCCTGATTTCACTTCCATAATAGTGACAGAAAGGTGACCAATGGTGGTTCATGTTACAACAGGGGAGCAACTAGCTGTATCTCACCTAAGAAAGTTCTCAAGGTCATCACGACTGCAGGAGGACCAGGACAGGTCACTGGGGTTTCTTCCTTTCACCCATTCACCAGACATGATGTGGGAGTATCCAGTGCAGGTGTCATGGTCATCATCATGACTCATTCCCATGCTGAGGACAAGACGTGGATACACAAACATTGCGTCAAAGAGCAGTTATGTTAATGGGTTTACAATGTAGTGAGTCCCTGTGATCCACAGATGGTCATCTCAGTGGATCCCATTTAAATTGAGACAAAAATTTGAGTTTTAAACTCATGTTTGCTGTTGGTTATAATTATGGTTAGATTCATATATGTTGACAATGTATCTGAAAATTAAATGAATAAAATCCCAAATCTGAAACTTTATTTACCAAACATTATGCAAATGTCCCACCTTTTTCGACACATTTTTGTGTTCATGCAGTACACTTACAAATTCATATGCCTCTCATTCAAAGTGTAGGAACAAACAGTGTCCCTTCAAAGAAGTAATGAAAAATAAATCTGACAAAAGGAGGCCCCTATTTGACTATGGATTCATCACCTTCCTTAAATCATACCATCTCTATGGGGGCTAATCGCCAAAGACGTTTTCGCTGGCGTTGGTCTGTTTGTCTGTTTGTCTGCAAAATAACTTGAAAAAGGAACAGATGATAAAATTTTGGTGGTGATTGGTTTAAGCGAAGTGGATAAAATAATAAAATGGCGGGAAATCTGAGCTGCTTGGCGGAGGTCTGCGCTCTCCGAATGCTCTAGCTTTATTTTATTCATATGTTCACATGTTAACAAATATTCCTTTACCATAAAAACAAGTCTCTCTTGATTGCTTTGTCAGTGATGTCAACATCAGACACAGACACCAAAAGGCCCCTTTCGTACCAGTATGATAGGCTGCTGGGAAGCATCAGCGGCTAACGTGGCTGGACGGAACCCACTGTTATGATACCCTGCCGGTCAGCCGGGTGCCACCTATCGTTGCAGTATGATATGCAGCTGGATGACATCAGTTTGAAATGCTGCAGGTAACAGCATAAGGAGCTGAGAAGTCCTGAGAGGTTGGGTGTGCGGGGGTGGTGGATGGGTCCAACAAACTCTGGACTTTCAACTGGGACCCCATAATTACCTACCTGTATGAACACAGATCCGAGCCATGATGTTTTTCTAATCCTGACCATGTATTTTTGTTGACGTCCCGGCGTTGATTGTGGTGTCCCAGAATGTCAACAGCAGATGCAGGAGGATACCTAGCACGTAATATTAATTTTTTTCAGCCAAGGCAACGTAATTTCGTTCACGTGCACTGCCTCTATTTGTATGCATGAATGACAATAATGTTTTATCTTATCTTATGTAGACATGAAATTCCACTGACAAAGCGGTGATACATGACAACTTGGGAGGAGCACATGTTGCAAATACATTGTCATTGATGGTGACACAATTAGCATGTTGAAGTGGCAGTCAAACATGCCACCGTCTTCTCCCAAACCGGAAGGCCTTCATATCAGTAATAATAATGACAGTATGGATTATCCTGTGTGCCCTACTTTCCCTGTTTTCCATCAACTTTGGTTATTCAGAGAAGATCTGCTGTCTCTACAAAGACATGAAGGGAGGCTGGATCTTAGATTTTCTACACTTGGCTGCTCTAAAATTGCATACAGGCCTAACTCTACATCAAAAAAGCTGAAGGTAAAGAAACAAGGCTCTAGAGGGAGCATTCATGCCAGGCTACAGAGGCAGGGCTCACAGTTCCCTCTACCTCTGCAAACATTATCAAATGAACAACCCCTTAATAATAATATGGAGTAACTAATGGCCAGACTACAACATCTCCCTGAGCCAAGCCATCATACCAACATGCTTCAAGGCCACCACTATCATACCACTACCTAAGAATCTTGGATGGACTGACAATTCGGGCCAACTGGATTCTCTTCACCATCTACTGTCATTGACTGTGCACTGTCTACTTAAAGAAAGCTCCTCTACTTCAAGTTACTGTGGACACTGTGAAGAATTAAAATGCCTAGAAAGGTGAAGATTTTGTCACGCTATTTATGGTTCATGAGCTGCTGGAACAGCAAAAGGCTTTTTACAAGGAAGTGTAACATCTAGTCCCTGAGTATAGTTATGTTTTTCTGTCTTTGTGCATTTTTGGTTACTTCCTGTTTTATTTTGTATTTTCCTCTCATTCCAGATCCTCACCTCCTGTCCTCCTGTGTTTCCCGCCTCGTGTGATTACCTGCCCCGCCCTGATTAGTGTCACCTGTGTCTCATTATCCCACCTTCCCTTGTGTATTTAGTCTGTGTGCATCCCTTTGTCTCTGCCAGTTCGTCTTTTCAGTTCTCTGTAAGCGTCCCAGCCTTTTTCCCAGTGTTAGTCTTGTGAGTGTATGATCTAGTTCTGTTTTTTGGACCCTGCCTCTGCCTTAGCGTTTTTTGGATACCTCTGCCTTGTCTGACTGCCTTCCTGTGTACCGAACCTGCCTTCTTCATTAAAGACTTTTGATTTGAACTGAATTTGAGTTGAGTCCTGCTCTTGAGTCCTATCAGTTCAACCTTAACAGTATGAACTGGCCAACATGGACTCAGCAGACTCATATCCTGTGCGGGTTGCTCTCCAAAACCAAGGGAGTAGGATTCACCAACAGGAGGAGCAGCTTTCTATTCTCCGCCAAGAAATGAAGGAAATGGCGGAGCGCCAGGAGAGAATAATGGCATCTCTTGGCGAAGAGATTTTTCAACACACCACTCCTGGTAGAGAGGCTGCCAGAGCCATTTCCAGTCTAAGACAAGGTGAGAGAAGAGTTGCTGACTACGCCATTGAATTTCGCACACTTGCCGCAGACAGCGGTTGGAATGATGCCGCCCTGTTAGACTCTTTCCTGTTCGGACTGTCTGATCCATTAAAGGACCAGCTGGCTCCTCTCGATCTTCCAGAAGATTTGGACTCTCTGATTGCCTTGGCTATCAAGATTGACAAGCGGCTTCTTGAGAGGGAGAGAGGGAAGAGGAGGCCCAGAGGTGCTGTTACTCCGCCGAGCAACAAGAGGTCATCACCCCCCAGTTGGCGTTTTTCTGGACAGTGCCCTTCTTCGCCCTCTCCATCGCCCCCTGTTGCTGTGGAGGAACCAATGCAGCTGGGCAGAACCAGGCTCTCCCCAGAGGAGCGTCAGCGCCGCCTACGGGAGGGGCGGTGTATCTACTGCGCTCAGCTGGGACATCTCATCGCTACCTGTCCAGTAAAAGACCGGGCTCATCAGTAACCAGGAGGGCGCTGGTGAGCCGCACATCTCTGACTGTAAGTCCCTCTCGTTTCTTGCATCATATTACACTCACCTCTCCCACTGAGACTAAGAACAGTACTGTTTTGATTGATTCTGGTTCAGATGCCAATTTGATGGACTTTAAAGTTGCCAAAGAACTAGGCTTAGAGTTCATTCCTCTGTCCAAACCCCTTGAAGCCAGTGCCCTAGATGGTCACCTCTTGTGTCACATTACACATTACTCTCAGTCTGTACAATTGGCATTCCCTGATAACCACACAGAGACTCTTAGTTTTCACTTATTTGAATCTGTTCAACACCCCCTCATTCTGGGTTTCCCATGGCTCAAGCATCACAGCCCACACATAGACTGGTCATTGTGGAAAATTCTGGGCTGGCAAGCTGAATGCTCAAAGACGTGTTTTCCATCCTGCCCTGCTCCTGTTCAGTCGGCACCTATAATCTCTCCTCTAGCCCATCCTGCTGTATCAGTCACTCCTGAATCAGATTATCCTGACCTTTCTAAAGTACCTCAGTGTTACCATGATTTGAAGGAAGTCTTTAACAAGACTAAGGCCACTTCCCTGCCTCCTCACCGTGAATATGACTGTGCCATTGACCTGTTACCTGGAACCTCTCCTCCCAAAGGAAGGCTTTATTCTCTCTCTGCTCCTGAAATGCAGGCCATGAAGGAGTATGTGGATTCAGCATTGAAAGCTGGCCTTATTCGCCCCTCATCCTCTCCAGCAGGAGCTGGTTTTTTCTTCGTGGACAAGAAGGACAAGTCCCTCCGCCCTTGCATCGATTACCGGGGCCTTAACGACATAACCGTAAAGAACAGGTACCCCCTCCCTCTCATTTCCTCTGCTTTTGAACTGTTGCAGGGAGCTAAAGTGTTTACCAAGTTAGATCTGAGAAATGCCTATCACTTGGTAAGGATAAGGGAGGGGGATGGATGGAAAACAGCCTTTAACACCCCCAGTGGACACTATGAGTACTTAGTGATGCCTTTTGGTTTAACCAATGCTCCAGCTGTCTTCCAGGCTCTGGTAAATGATGTGCTCAGGGACATGCTTAACATCTTCATGTTTGTCTACCTGGACGACATCCTCATCTTCTCCCCGGATGAGCAATCGCACATTCTTCATGTCCATCAGGTCCTCCAGCGCCTCCTCGACCACCAGCTTTTCGTCAAAGCTGAAAAGTGTGAGTTCCATGTCCCTACTGTGTCTTTCCTGGGGTTTATTGTCTCTGAGGGCAATATTCAAATGGACCCAGCTAAGATTAAAGCAGTCTCAGAGTGGCCCACCCCAGGGAGCCGCAAGGAGGTTCAGCGTTTTTTGGGGTTTGCCAACTTCTATAGACGATTTATTAGAAATTTTAGCTCCATTGCTGCCCCTCTGCATGCTCTAACCTCTCCTGCTAACAGGTTCCAGTGGAATCCCCAAGCCGATCAGGCTTTCATGACTCTCAAGGAAAGGTTCACCTCTGCCCCGATACTGGTTCTCCCTGATCCACATCAGCAGTTTGTGGTTGAGGTGGATGCTTCAGATGTTGGGATTGGAGCGATACTTTCTCAGCGTTCCAAGGAGGACAACAAGATGCACCCCTGTGCCTTCCTCTCCCGTAAGTTGTCTCCAGCAGAGAGGAACTATGATGTGGGTAACCGGGAGTTGTTGGCTATTAAGGTGGCTCTGGAGGAATGGCGTCACTGGTTGGAGGGAGTGGAGCAGCCTTTTCTGGTATGGACCGACCACAAGAACTTGCAGTACTTGCGTACTGCCAAAAGACTGAATTCGCGTCAGGCAAGGTGGTCCCTTTTCTTTAATAGATTCCACTTTACCCTGTCATATCGCCCT